GTCACTCGTCCTACTTCCTGAACCCAAAATTAGTCCGGCAATTCCGCCCGGTGCGTCCATTAGCTGATTTATTAAAGGACTTGTTTGTTGCCCGACCAGCGAAAGGTCGTGCCCCTGCTGCCGCAACGAAAAACAGCGTACCGCCGCCGCGCCCACGATGATAATTGGCATGTTAATTTCCTCGATGAGGTAATCGACGTGTCATTTGGGGAAGTCGATCGTTAAACGACTTACGAGAGTACTATGCTCTAAATGCTCGTCTTACGTAATTTTTTTCGCTCGACATAGAAATTAATTGGATTAATTATCAAATAAAATTTTTCTATTACGAGAAGTATGGTCTGTTAATATAAAGTTCACACCGTTATACAAAAAGAAAGGCGTATGAAAATGACCGAGATTTGGCACAAGCCAAAACCTAAAAAGCTAATTACACTCTTCTTGGTTAATATGAAAGAGAAAAATAATATATAATGCCGAGAAGTGCTGACAAAATTGCTGGTGACGATAAAATATTATACGAAATACGTAAAATGTATGCATTATATATTTTTCATACTGATTTATACACCACAATTATTTTTAATAAATAAATATAAAATTTTTTATAATTACTATTTATCTAATTCAGAACCGACGCGGACTTGTAATTATTAGCCCTATTTTTTGTTGGTTTTTAACTGTTATTTTAATTTTTTGGTTTTATTTTATGTATTTTTACTAATTTTGTCTATTCCTTCAGTATTAAACATTTTTTTATTTTATTTATTATTATATATGTATATTATATATTGCAGTACGTTATAGTATTACAGAATATATTATATTATTATATTAGATATATAAAAGTATATTATATAATATACTCTCTAAAAGTGAATCAGTGGAATCATCACTGATTGTCAGTGTCATATCCTTTTCCGATGACATACTTAGAACTATGATAAACAGTGATTATTTCAATGTCGCTTCAATGATAATACATTGATTTAAACAGTGAATATCACTGAAAGACAGTGAATTTCACTATCGAATAGTCAAATTCACTGTCTTTCAGTAATATTTACTGTTTAAATCAGTGTATTATCACTGAAGCGACATTGAAATAGTCACTATTTATCACAGTTATAAGTATGCCACTGGAAAATACACTGATAATTAGTGATGATTTCACTGATTCACTTTTAGAGAGTATATTATACAGTATATTATATTTTTATTTTATTAGTTATAATATAGTATATGGTGGAATACCAATAGCGTCATTCTCAGAAAAAATTGCAGCAAAATAGTTACTTAAATAATGCTCAGTTATAAAAAATACAAAGACTGACGTATATACATTACTGGACATAAACATATGGCTGTACAATCGAATGCGATCCATATAAGAATTACTCGCTATTCATTTGCTAACTAATTACCATAGTCCCAATTTTTTTGTTCCAGCCAATTCGCAAAAAAAACAATGGCCGTGCTAGTTTAAGTTAGAACAGTCATAAAGAAAAAAATGTTTATAAGCAGTGCCGAAAATTATGATAAATATTAATTGTTCCGAACCTCGAGTCAAACTTCGAGCCGCGAGCATTTCGTCGAGCGTTTTTCATTGTCTTTTGCCAAGTTGTATGACAAATGCTCGCCAAAATATTTACGAGACTTAATTACGCTTGCAATTTACATATATATTTTCACAGATCCATTATCTGTAGAACGTAAGAAACGATTATCATATAAGAAATAAGTTATCGCTCACCGACACCGATGCGCAGCAGCGGAATAATTACGTCGATCTGCAACATACGATCATGTCCAGGTTACATAAATTACACATGAATTAATTAATATATTAAGAAATAACTATTGCGCGCATAAAATAATTCTAGACATTTATTCCTGAGATGCATGGAATATTAAATGATGATGAGATACTTACCCCACGATTATTCCGCCGTTGCTTGGATGTCTCGTAGGCCTCCTCCTCTCGTATTCCCTCTGAATCGAACTCGATCAGCAACGCTCACTCACGAAAGTTATTAATATTCGCGCGGCACTTGATACGACACTCCCGACGTTAAATGTTCGCGAAACCACATCGTTAAATCGACGATCGATCAAAATCAAATGTATCGTGCAAAAGTACGCGATGCGATCGAGGTTTGGCATTCTTTTTCAGCATTGTACGTTTCACGCGTGAATTTGGAAGAAGCTCGACGCCAATCCCAGTTGCTGATCCCTTCCGCGGCGACGACGACGAGCGGCGACGACGACGTTCGAAAACGCCGGCAACTTTACACAGTACTACGCCAGTCAAGTGTACGGCTGGACAGAGGCACGCAGTTGTTGAATAAAAAACGCACAACTAAAATTCCGTTTTGTGCATTGCATCGCACGCGCAGCACGTATATCGATCGAATTCACAGAGCTCGCGGATGTAAAATTAATTATGGTGATTTATGGTATCATCAATTATATTTTGCGCTACCGGCGTCTATTTTGCGCGACGCGAAATTATTAACTAAATTATCGCAGGCGATATTACGACGACGTTGTGTCCCGTTACTCGAACAGTTCGACGCGACGATGCCACTTGACTTTCTCTCGTTCCTCGGGGAGAGAATCGAAGCTTGAAGCGCGACGCGAAGCATTCGCGAGGTTAACGCAACGTCGGATCTCTCTCGACACAGCGGAACGCGATCATCGGCCGCCGCGAATATCGCGACAAAATGGCAAGTTCTGTACCTTCGCTTCGACACGTCTGCTTGCGAACGAGTGAGTCGCGAGATATCCGCTCCGATAAACGCACAGTTTTCATCGAAAGCCAGTCGGAAAAGTGAATTTCACTCGCGGTTCATCGAGCGCGACGCGGCGCGGCGGCGATTCCCGCGGAGCAAGAAACAGTAGTGCCAACCCGCAGAAACGAACACACTGCGCAGCGCGACAGGCGACGTTCACAGCACTGCCTATCCGGTTTGAAAAAGTCAAGCTTCTTCGGCAGTGTGAATAAGCAGTGATTTTCATAATGTTCGGCGACGCCGCGCTATCGTTGAAATCAAACGTATCGAGCAGCGCCGGCCGCCGACCGATCTCACAGGTAATAGCGGTGTTTCGGTGCGTCGAAGAAGCACAAGGTCGACGACGGAATCAACGCGCGCGTTTGGCGCGCCGAAGCCTCCACGCCAGCGGCAGAGCCGCCGAGAGCGGCCGAACGTGATTGGCCGAGCGCCTCGGCTGACGCTCAGCGGCCAATCGCGCTCAAGCGTCGAGACGCTCGGCGCGCGCGGCGCGGGCGCGACATGGTACGCGCCGTACGCGACGCGATTACGACGCGCTAGACATTACCGGTCGTGTAATTAGTTGTTTGTGAGCGAAACGAAATCCGATTGCGGGGTGTCGCGAGCTGAACGCGTGCCGATTACTCCGTTCCTTCTCGGATCGACTTTAACGAGCGGGATGCCGGTCGCCGAACGTCGCCGGCGTCGCTGGACAATTGGACATATTTGGATGGACATGTCGGCCGTGCTGTGCATCTTCGGAGTGTTCCTGGATGGTATTGCCGCGTCGAGCGTTGCTCCGAAATATCGGTGAGTGAATTATTTGTGAAAAATGAAAAATTTGTAGCGAGATATGTCCAAATCACAGCATCGTTAGAGGGATTATCGCCGTCCCATGTATCTCGTAGTGACACGATAATTCAGAATTCGCGTTACCTATTTTCGATGAGTAAATTGTGCGAAAAGACATGAATATATAGCTCGATCCTTTGTTAAACGCGGGAATTAATAATCAATTAATTGATTGAAGAGATCGATCGCGAACAGAGCGCATGCCGCATATTCGTCGCGATTGCGAGGAGAACGCGAAGACGAATGTGCTTGCTTCGATACGCATAAGGTATGGACAGATAGAATACGAGCATGCTCAAACGTGCATCGATAAATATATATATGGTTCGTCTTTCGTTAAGGAATAGGCATTTTCTCGCGTAACTCGTCATAATTGTATCAAATTTATTCGTATACATCCGTATTTCTCCTAACCTAACCTCTTAGTTTACATAAAATTAACCTTCAATATTAATTTCTTCGTTCCTGCGGTGCAGTACGATTATTTTGCGTACGTCACAAAGCTAAAGTAATTCTCGTCGCCGAAACATTTCGTAACGTTTAAAATATTCTTATTCTTTATTTTCCAAAAATTATATCTTGTATAATCTAACCTAACTTCTACTTTACTAGCCTTACAGAAAATTGTACGTGTCTAGGATGCTCCGGAGCGGAGAGAAGAGACTGAAGGGAGGGAATACGCTTTCTTCTTACGGTATTAATTTACGAAAGTACTTATGCGCATCGACGTAGACGGTGGCGTACGTCGAGTGTGACGAGAGCAACTTTAATGCCGCAGCCAGCAATATGATGCATTCTATAACGTAACGCGCTACGTCACGTAACTCTGTTTCTGCAAAATGCAGCGGAAAGTTTCGGAAACTTACTCTCCTCGTATGGGAAGTCTCGAACAAGCGTGCCGAGTCGGGAGAGCGAAAAAGCTTTCTGAGCCGCTCATATATTTGCATCGACGTAGCCCGTAGAGCGAAGCAAAAGTTGCACCATCGACGGTAACCAGACCGCAAATATTGTAAATGTCAGACATCGTCTTGGAGATATTGTTATTCTTTTTTTCGCTTCATCTGCAAAACAGAGCGTGAAAATAATAAGTTTGTTTATGGGAATTTTCGGAATAATTTTACATTTTATTTAAAATATATTATATAAGATATAATTTTTGGAAAATAGAGAATAAGAATTTTTTAAGCGTTATATGAAATATTTCGGCGACGAGAATTCTTTAGCTTTATGACGTACGTGAAATTACCGCACTGCATCGCAGGAACGAAGAAATTAATATTAAAGGTAAACACATAATTTTGCGTTATTACCAAGGAGAGAAGAAAAGCGCGAGAAAGGGGATAGGAAATATTAACGGATGGAGAGATGCGTGAAACGTCGAAGTGGTTTTTTTTATTGTTTCATATTTATACACATAATAAGCATACGATTACATCGTATTAGGTACTATAGATCATATATGTATAACTTAACGTATACTTATATGTATATATTTATATATATCTATAATATCCAGCATTTTGTACAATAAATAAAGACTCTAGAGCATTTTAAACATAACATCGCGCATTCCCGCGCGACCATTGCGTATCGAGTTATACAATAATTCAATAATTCAACGAGCTCTCTAATATATCCCTCATTACACTTAAAATTATCGCGAATTAGCGATGATTGTGGGCAGTTCTTTCACGATCGGTATCACGATTTTCTTGTCTTAACTCGAAGCCAAGATTATACATATACAGACATCAGTTCGCAATAGATGTCACGTATATATATTATTATTTCATCACGTCTCTTTCGCATTAATATATCAATTAATTAGTAATTGTAGAGTGACGAGCTAACAAGCACTTTCGATCGATTTGTATATTTGAAAAAAAAAAGTTATAACTTTCAATGTCATCAAAAATCGGAAAATTTTAAAAATATCTGGAAGAACAAGAAATGAATGCCCATCGTTAAGCGCGACACATTAATTAAATTAACCCATCGAATATACTGAAGGAAGATAAATTAATAATCCTCGGTTAAATTTGTTCGTAAGCATTACTGAATTTCGAAACGTTAAAATTCAATTTTACCCGAGCGAACGTGATTAAGCAATAAATTCCGGACAATCCGGCGAAAGCTCCATGCGTTTGAATCGCCACGTCCCGCCTCGAGATTTGAGATCCCTCAAGCACGGGGAGCCACGAATCTGGAAGCTGAGGGGACGCCGCGGTAATAATCCTTCAATAAATGACGAGAGATATTGAAAAGAAAAAACATAACGGCAGCCTTGTGCGCGCGGATGTGAGAAATACGTGGGGGCCCGGGTCGTAACGCGAGTTATGGGTTTCCCGTGTAATCGTCCGATAAATCCGCCGTATGCTCGAAAAGAAATATCGTGTTTAAGCTTAATTCGGAAGTGAGTGTGATAAAAATTGATGGCACGGCTCTCGCGTGGTTAGTGCCGCGGCCTCGTAAATTTCTGCATAACGGCAGCGACGTTACGTTAACGGAAACAACGGGTAGCTTTCTCGAGGCCGCTCACGAGAGCACGGGAAGGGATCGATAAGCCGGTCTTCCTTCGCCGAACTATCGAGCTCCACACTGGGCTTAATCGCGTCCCATCGTGAGCTTTAATTGTTTACTCCCCTCCCTCCGACCGCTCCTCCCTCCCGCCTTACAGCACAACACTGCGTTATTGCGCAATCGATATTACTTTACAGCAATCAGCACGGTGTTGACCTTAATTAGCTATAATTTTTCTCACACGCGCCCGTAGCTTTTCTTAAATCTTTTGGTATCAAGACTATCAGGTGATTATTTTGCATTCTCATTTTCATCACAACATTCTTAATGCACCCGCGTTAGTTGTCCGACATTGTTCTAAAATCTAGATGAAGAAAAATGATAAAACATTTTTTATCTTAATTGTCATTTATTAAATTACTTTTTCGAATGTATTTTTGACATTGACCTAATTGCAGATATCCAAATTTATCAGGCTTAACGAAGGCTTTTTAAGAAATGTATATGCGTAATCGTTGCTATAATGTTTAATTTAATTACGTCGTTAATCACAATCACTTCGCATCTTGATATTAATCGATTGGTAATAATTATTATATCGTATCTTTACGGCATTTTATATATATATATAAATATGATTATTTTAACAACTACATTATTTTATAATAGACTTTCTAGTAATAACGGCATCCCGATAATCAGTAATAAATTTGCTTTATAGAGTTATAATATATATAAAACAATTAACAAAATAATAAATATAATTATTGTATTTCGAGTAGCACTTTATATTTCAAATTATCTCACGTTGCTTCAATTATTATTCGCAGTTGAATGAAACTATTATTTTCCCTACATATATATAATTCTGTGATTTTATATCAATTTAACAAATCGTAAAAATAATGACACTTAAGCGTTAACAATAAAATTTGTGTCTCGTACGCAACGGAAACGGCTAAGAATTTACGTCTTTTATAGTTATGTTCGTATGCTTATCAGATAACTGACGTTTCTTAATCCTAGACGACTGTAGAGAAAACATTCGAGAATTGCAGATTGAATGTGAAATTGTCACGGTACACATATCGATATTCTCCCTCACGCGATACTTGGTTCGATAGTTTAGACTTTAAACATTCGACAATTCGCTATACCTATCCATCCGCGCAGAATCAGCTTGACCGCTGACACCCTATTGTCATTTTACATTCGCTATAACGTCCGGAAACATGTACGACATGCATTTTCTGTCTATCTCGTGTCCCGAGCTCGTATGGAAGAACGACGATCGATTCGTTCTTCTTTTTTTTCGCTTCAGAGACACGAATCATCCACGTACGTACGACGTGATTATTTGCGATCGATGCGATTGGAAACCGCATAAATCAGATCTTTCTCGAGAGTTAACGGCGGAGTTAGCAGCGTTTTATTTTATAAAACGTTTGAAAGGTTTGAAGGGTGGAGATAGAACGTTGATTTAATCAAACACAGCATCCATTACTTTAGAGTAAAATTCTGATCTAACTAGACTTTAAAAAAAAATTGATATTACGCGGTTTCCAGTCGAACTGACTTCATTTAAATTGAACACTTAGATTTTTCGCTTAAAATTATGAGCGAAGTTCCGAAAAGCGTATTTACCTTGAATTATTTTAAAATCTAGCATGTAACGAACAATAAAAAATATGCATCTATCCATTTATGGTGGTTGAAATTTTATTCGTGAAGAGCAAAAAAATCGCATTAAAAATTTTGCTTTTTATTTTTCCAAGAGAGATTGTCGACGAATTCGACAGTGGTTGGGGGCGAAAGCCTTTTCGGAACTTTAGCCAAAATTACAATTACTTATCGTAAATACGCGCAACGTTGGACCGGTCTCAAGCGACGTCCGTATAGACATCGATTTTTCGATAACGCGCGTGTAGAAATTCCGAAGCGGTGCACCTCTTCCTTCACTTTAAAACGTTAAAAACACTGAGAAGATGTATAAAAATTCGACAGTCAAAGCTATTGCTGGTCTTACATATAATTTTTTATCCTCTATCCCGAACACGCGGGAGGTATTAATTCGACAATCGTGCAAAGGACTCGATTTGTGCGGATTCGGCCCTTTTTTGGGGCCGGGAATCAGTGATATGATAAATCAATAATTGCCGATTCGGTCTCTTGAAAAACGGGATTACCTATTTGCGTAGTCGTTTGAAAATTCCAGGCGCGAGGTACGGAGATTTTGGGTGATTTCGTTACGCGCGGCGCAGGAGCGAAACAAGGACGACGCCGACGTCGCGACGACGATGTCGCGACACTCGCGAGCTTGTACGTGACCCGAACTGAATAATACAGGGTGTCTTGAAAAAGACTTCGTGAGATCTTAGATTTATACAGTACTTACCCAATTCTGTGAAGAGATCTATTACATATTGAGGGATTACAATAATAGAAAAACGAATAATTCTTTCAAACGTATGTATAACTTTTTATGTGTATTACGTGATGAAGGGAGATTAAAAATCTTATGAGAGTGAGAATTTATGCCTTATAAAAGGAGAAATTAAAATGGGATCAGTGATAGACCAATTGTCACCTAAATAGGCACATAGGCAACTTTTATCGTAAGCCGCGGCGTCTCATTGTTACTTTTCAAGACGTTAGCGGGATTGGTCGTCATAATGCACCGCGGTGCACGCTCGCCACGGTCAAACATTACGGCCTCGTTCTCGAGAGCACCCCGTATACGGAAAGTCCCGGAAGAGGCGAGAGCGAATCCCTGATGGGGGGAACTTCTTCCCGCGGAACAGCATTATCGCCGTTCAGACAGTTCTGCAATCTGCATGAGCTTGCTGCATCAGTGGAACTCGAAATCGTCGAGGGCATACCTCATTCTTCCTTATATATATATATATATGTCCCCCTTTCTTCTCCCCCTCTTTCTCTCTATTTCTTCGTCTATTTGACACAAGAATACAGACACTTCTCTTAGCCCTCCCGCACTCCCATTTCTCTCCCCTCGTAATCCGCGCTCTTATCGGCGGGACGGCGCGACTCTCGGGGCATCGAGAGATGTTCTCCCCGCGATAAGGCAATTCGAGGCGAACTTTTCTGACGGACAAGGTACATAGGGGGGAAAGGGAACAGAGAGATAGAAAGAGGAGCGTTAGAGTACCGCGCTCGAACATCCCTCAGCGTGGTCAAAGGGATGCCAAGGGGTGCGCCAAACGGGGCGCGCGTCCCTCCGCTATCGGAAAAGTATTTGCGGAAAATCCCCGGCGCGGTTCTCGCGCGGGAGAGATTCTGATGTTCCGTCATTCTTACTCTCCCTCTGTTACGGATTTCGTTGGGATTTGCGCCATTAAAGGGATGGCGGAGAAGGGGGGGACCGCGTATTTTCGCAACGGACGCGAAGTGATCTTAACAACTTTGCTGAAACTTCGGGAGCACTCTGTTTTTTTTTTCACTCTTTGCCCTCACGAATCCGTCCGACTTAGATCCGTAGAAACTTAGATCCGTGATCGCAAGAAGTAATATTACGAAAGGTAATTACGAAAGGTAGATATAATTATTTATCTAATACAGCACGCACAAAAATGCATTAATAGAAGCATTAAGTAGAAATTTCGAAACATACCTTTTCAATAAGAAACCGATGCAAAATCATCTCGCTTAGCGAATTTGTTGCCAGGGAGGATACGTTGGCGCATAACTCAAGAAAACATCGCGGGGAGAAAAAAAATGAATCCCGCGGTACACGCGCTTTGTTCGCCGCAAACTTTTTGCGCTCGCTACAAAGGGCCGTTGATTAAAAACCGTGTGGAGCGACGAAGAGCGAGATGTCCACGAGGAGGGTCCACGGGAGGAAGGGGGAGGGAGGGAGAAAGAGAAATCGCCTAATGGGTAATTCATTCTCGACGGGGGGACAAACGACGGCGGACGTCGCTGGAAAATATTCGAGTGGCCGACGATCCGGGGAATCCTATAAGGGAATTGAAACGGAAGGAGCTTCCGCATGGGAATCGCAGATGATATCGATGCCCCTCCTACGCTCGATCTCTCGCGAGCTGCGCGATCCCCTTAAAAGTCGTCGTCGTCGTCGGAGCCACCGCCGCCGCATCACAAATCCCGTTGACGTGATCCGTACTTTCTGTGCGATTACCTGAGAGATCGGGAACACACGCCGCGGATCTAAATTCGCAATTCCGCCTTCCGCGATGTCGATCCGAGTATCCACGATGACGTTAAGTTAATTGCGAAGGAATTGAAAAGTCTTCGATGTCAACGATCGAGCGTTCTCGTCGCCGTGCCGTGATAATTTTAACTCTTTGGATGCAATTCCCTTGTTTCAATTAAAGTTAGTTCGTATATCGATTGACATACGCTGAAAGTGTACTAGACGCGGATAAAAAAAGAATAATACAATAAATAGAGCTTATTAATTGCTTAGTGCGCGAGATTTAATTTTTAGTTAAAATTATCACACTCCTGAATGCGTTTTATTAATATTAATTACGATTTACTTTGTAATCATGTAAAGAATATTTGCTTTTTTCTTTTTAGTAATATCCGTATATATGTATAATAGTTTTTTAAAGCAGTTTACAGTAATGTGATAAATCATAATAAGTATATAAATTTTATTAAATTAAAAAAAGAGTGGTCGGTAATTAAAAATTCTTCCATGAGAACTTAAATTACACGGAAAACTATGACGCGAAAATTATTATTCAATTCGCGGGGGCATCTTATAGACACGCAACACTAATGTAACACGTGTACGCCGGAGCGCAGTCGACGGATTTCCGTAATCCGCCGTAATGTTCTGAGATTATTCGCGCGGCAGCATCCAAAGTGTTGGCATAATCACGTTAATTAGTCCGAGACACGGTCGGGCGCGATCTGATGATCTGACGGGCGTCTCGAGATCGATCGATCCGTCCGTCTAATTTCACTACTGCCAGGACCTGAATAGGAGGCTCGACGATAGCAGGCCGACGAGGGTCGCCCAGGCGACGAGATCGAGCGCGACCCGCCTGGATCCGGCGCCGCCGTTCACGCAGGTCTCGCGGATGCTGACGTTCTTCAGGCCGCGGCGCGCCAGGAGATTGTGAACGCCCCGTTTGTCGCTCTGCTGCAGCGTGTGCTCGCGCGACAGTAGAAGGGAGTAAAGCTGATTGTTGGGATTCCGGGAGCAGAAAGTCAACACCATGTCCGAGGCGACGGCCTTCATTACGTGCACGGTGCCGACGAACTGCATGTACTTCGACCTCTCCGCCAAGGTACCTGCAAATTAAATCAGCAACCGGGTTAAAAGAAGCAACACGGGGTGCGCGATACGCAAGACACGCGAGGGAAGGGAGGAGGGAGGGAGAGAGAGAGAAGGATGATGGGGTTGAAAGGCTGAGAAGGAGAGGCCTCCCTATCGAATTTCCTGCCCCGGCTTTTCGCGTCAAGCTTCCGTCCGCTGCACGAAGTAGAATCTCTTGTACAAACGGAACTGTCGCGACTGCAGAAATAAATGTCTGTCGACGACAAGTCTATTTTTACGAAGTAGTTTTATCTCCGCGTGGAATGCTCTTGAGTGAAATAGGAAGAAGGGCCACGGGGGGGGGGGAATAGAAGCAGGGGAACACTTTGTACTCACGGATTTTTATTTCACGTGAAAATAACTTGTCGTGATATGAAAGATAAAAACTGACGAAATTCAGGCTCCCCCTCCTCCCATTTGGAGATTCTAAACGTAAGGCAAATATCCGTTTAACGCGACGATTTTAAATGAGAATTTTGAGGTGTGTGATATCCGATAAATTTATCCGGTAACTAAATTTATCCGGCAATAGAGGAAATAGAAACGGCCAATAATTTTAGCACAAGAAGAATGATAACAAATAATTTATTTATGTAGAAGTAAAATTAATGTTTTGATCTTACTTGGTCTTTTTCAATCATATAACTGCTAAAAAATTAAAAAATAACCCTTAATGCATTGTCATGCAAAATTAAATACAAATAAATTAAATAAATAAATAGAAAAGTTAAATAAATTATTTTTATTGAATTATCACTCTAACTTCCTTTCAATATTTCTTCTCGCATTTGAACGACGAACGAGTGGCTTTTAATTTCTTAATACTACTTTGTCTTACTTATATTTGCAATGTTTTTTTTTATCTTTTATTTACGGGAATTTACGTCTGCCAAACGATGGGATTTTTATTTAATTTTTATATTTATTTAATTTATTTGTATTTAATTTTGTATGACAATACATTAAGGGTTATCTTTTAATTTTTTTAGTTATACGGTTGATAAAATTCAAGTAAGGTCGAAACGTAGCGTTAAACTTACTTCTTGTAATAAATAAATTATTTTATATCATCCTTTTCGTGCTCGAATTTTGGCCGTTTCTATTTGTCCTCTATTGTGTTTTTTAGTGTTATCGAAAATTCGTTTAATTTACCCGGTAAGTTTAACACGCACGTATATTAATGATGTGGATGATAGATGAGACTCTTCGTAGAGCTTTTCGAAATATACATCTAAGATATTGTCAGGACAGGATAGCGCGACAATAAAGAGGATCGAACAAGCAGCGAAAGCTTGACTTTCCAATTTCCTGCCTCTACTGATATGAGCGAAGAAGCAAAACATATAGCCTACCTCAATGTTATATAGTCCTATATATAATACATGTCATTTTTTATATTATACACAAGTCTCTATATGTGTCCGTACATGAAAAAAGCATTTGATCATCTCGTTTCTTTTTTTGGAAAAATTTTGCGTAAAAAGGAAAAGTGTTTCTACGTACTTTATTCAGTATACTAGTCTAACGCAAACAGAATGTGATGAAAGCACATTGTGATGTTGCCTTGCTGCTTCGCATAAAATTTTTTCAAACAAAACAAGACGCGCAAATATTTGTTCACATACCGTACACACGTGCGCTTTACTATGCCGATGATATTAAAAATTTATTATATTTTCCCAGTTTTGTGCTTTGATCGTTTAAAGAGAATTATGTGTTCGTGCGACACGCTTCGTACGAAAATAGTGTTATGCAAAATTGATGATATGGTATATGTATATACCGATGAGCTTTTATATTCATTTAATCTCCTTGTAATATTTGGGAAGTGATTGCGTAGCTCGGGTAATGAGTACGACCATCGCGAGCAGGCTATAAAAAGGCTGATGCGCGTACTACGAAATTACAAAGAAACCATGGGGTGTTTCCTTTTAAAAACTTCCACAGCGAGTAACAAATAGTACGCAATACCATTGTATTTAGTGTCATTTATCACGGACTTGGCACTTTTATCTGAACAGGTTTAATGGACTAAGTCGGGGCTTTGACAAATGTAAGTTCCAACTTCACTGGCGCCCGAGACGTAAGCTCCAACCTGTGCAATGTTTTAATCTGCAGAAATGTTTGATCTAAGTGAATTGATCGCGATGAAGCGCGGTCGGTGCGTTTCGCATCTAAAATATTTGCCCATAAGGATGCAACAAAAAATTTCACAAGAGTCACGTTTCTATTTATTGCGCATTGTTCTTCGTGTCTCGCAGTCCCAGTGGATTTCGTATAACGTTTAACTGTTTAGCCACGGGTTTGCGGATACAAGATTTGAATAATCGGAATTGCAATGATTTGATTATACGACATCCCACTCGCTGCATGGCATAGGTCAGACGTGTTCAATGATCATTCGTATGGCGATGTGAGATATACGCCGTTGGGTGCGCCGTTGGAAATACGCAATATTACGGCTCATTACATAGTTGAGAACGCACTTAACGTTATGAAGGGAAATATACGGAGACGAGACGGCAAGCACGTGTACAATCTATATGCGCAATGTGCAGCGATCATAAGCGATGCATATGCATTCCACATTTCGCAGGATCATCGCACGATGTCGGAAATATTTCACTGGAGATAGCACTTTAATACCCGGCATTTAGAAGCATCCGCTCCGTTTCCAACTAAAGTTATGTACAGAGAGGAGGGACCCGATCTACCTCTGCGCCGGATCGACCGCTAATCTTTAACGTGACCTTGATAAATCTTTAATAGTTTCGAAATAAATCCTTTATTAGAGAAAACATGTCGAAGTTTGGAAAGTCGTATAACACGACAGGATTTTCTTCGACGTCTTGTCTCTAATAAAAGATTTATTTCGACCTTTTTTTCGATGAAATATATATATATTTTTTTTTACTCGTCGCGTGTGATTTAATTGAATTGAAATTTAATTTAATTTATTGCGTACTATTAAAAATAGAAAAATAAAGAAAATATTAAATACAAAAATATGCAAAGGCACCAGCAAGGTTGTTGCTACTATAAGCCTATCAGTGAGCGAAGCGAAAAGAAATAATAACGAGAGAATTCACAAACAAAAAAAGTTGACCAAATCGTTAAAAACAACGACGACGTTTCACGTAGATACATGACATATCGATCATTGCCGCAAAGCATCGCCGTGACAATTCATTGAAATGACGATTCACTGAAACGTTTGCGATTGACATTTACTATGACTGGATTGTTCCGGCTGTTAAGCAAAGCGACGGGAATAAACGTGCGGGCAATCGAAATCGAAAGCGCGCGTCGCGATTCCCGTAATTACATCTGCAATAGCAATTAGATGTTTATCTACTCGCGATGCGTGTCCTTCCCCCCAATTGAAGTCACGAATTATAATTAAAACGACATGGTAATTTTGCGACGCGCATGGCTAATTGCATACGTCGCGAATGACAACGCGCGGCGGCAACGTCAACGCCACGTAATCGCTTCAGTCGATATACATTCAACCCCGATCAGTATTCAAATTCGTTCCCATAACGCGTCACTATCATTGCATTTTGCTAACTAGCGCCGTGTATATCGCCACTCCGAATTGAGCGGTTGAGCGACGGATTGCAATTTACTCTTCTCTCCACGCGCATGTAAACAATTACAAATTAACAGCTAAACAGTATGCCTTACCGATAAATAAGCAATCGTATGTTAACAAGCAAACCAATTAACCGATTAGCCTAATGATTACATTTCTCCCTCTCTCTTTCCCTCCTCCTCTTCTCCTTATTAGCAGTATTATAACGTATATGCAAATGTTTGCAGCTCTTAATTGGTTTCCAGTGTAAAGTGTAGCTTTAAACAATTCTTTTTTTGTTTTTAAATTGATTTCTATTAAATTTCTATCAGTATATATATATATATATATTTAAATTGATTTTTTATTAAATTTCTAGCAAATTTTGTTCTATTTAAATTGAATTGAATTCTATATATACATATATATATGCGATCGTCGATTATGTAGCACGTTTACGTATGCACCCCCTCGTCTCTCGTATAACTTTTAAGGAAAAAGGGCTGCCCGGTTGCGAGTTTGAAAACTAGGTCGGTCGTACAAGCAGTAAGAGGTCTTTATCTTCTCCGGGAAAGTTGTTCCGACCGGCGCTTAGATCTCGGCGTAGGCGGCACTTACATCCATATATTAGTCTTTCCCCCTAGGGTCTCTTCGCCGTCTCGTCAAGTGTCGCGTCCAAAGTAAGCCGCGAAGTACGTTGCACGAGAATTATGAATTCCATCGCGAAAAACTGTCTCCCCTCCCTCCCCTCCCCTCTCCCCAAGATCTTTCGTTTTTAGTGGCTAAAGTACGGCAGCTGCAGCTCTGATGAGATTCCCCGGCTGTAATCGGAGGAGAGAGGAGGCGGGAGAGGGAGTTAAATTTGGCGAGAGGAAGAGGAAAGTTTTCATTCCGCGTCGTCTATGAAACGGCAAAAACATTCTCTCGCGGGCGAATCCTCGCGCAGTCCTATAGCGCTTCCGGCTCAAGGAGCGACTAATGCACGAAATTGATTTAACTTTTCGTAATAAAGTCGCTCATGTTGCGCCGACCAAAAAAGTGACCGTTGATCGCGCGAGTTTCTCTTTTTTGCGTTAAGTAAAATGGCCTGGGATGCAGCATGCTTCTCCTCTTTTGTGTAATCAAACGTGCGCGCGTATGTGGTACCGTAATGTAATTTTAGCCGAAAAAATATTCAAGACATATGTAATTTCGAAACTTTTGCACGAGCTGAAATCATATTTTTGAATTATTTAAAATCCATTGTTTGTCGAAGAAATACTTGACATTTATTTTTCATTATTTTTTTGGCTTTTCACCCGGAACGCTGTGTCTCCAAATTTAATCAACCAGCACGGTAAATTTAATTATTCACATATTTACATGTACATTTAGTTATTTTCATATTTATGCGTGGAAAATAATAAATTGTTCCCGTTTGTATACACAACTAAAAATGTATTGAGATACATTTTTATCATCCCTCGCTTTCTCCTCTCTCTTCTCTCTGATATAGAAAGATATTCCCCAGGAATTCTATTACGCCGGAATTTTTCTGGTGCCTCGATATTGAAATACTGTGTCAAAATTGGGTTTAACGAGAGAGCTTTCTGACGTCAAAATGTCAAAATTAAAAAATGCTCTCCAGTAATTTAAATAGATTCCTCTAATACATTCTTGCTTGTCAGGAAGTAATTATAATACTTCCTTTTACGCCAAAGGTTTACGATTAATTAAATTTTCACTAACAAAAAATCGATTCTAGATTGATCAGAGAAAAGATCTTTAATATGTTTGGAAATTTCTTTAAAAATTCTCGTATATTTAAAAGTATATTATAAAAGGCCTATTGAATTTGGCACACTGATGAATAAACGACATTAAGAAATAGTCGATTTTAATAATTATTCTTTTTTTTTCCAATTTTATTAGAGCACCTTTATCAGTAGTATCGATTATATTATAAATATACTTATCACTTTTAGCTTAAAAGCAGAGAACTTGTACAATCTGGCTGGTTTAGAGACACGTGAAAGTCGCTCAATTTAGAAAGAGACGTCATTTTCCCGAATGAAGATTCATTCGCGGGGGGATTAGTTATGAGAGCGGGCTCGGTATTTGTCGTTTTCCCAAAGTTCTCCACAAACAACGTTCCTGCATCAATCGGGGTATATATACCCGCGCAGTTTCACGATGCCGCGGCATATTATCCTCGGCAGTTCAGATCGTTTTCGGATTAGTATACTCCGGCGGGCAGGCGGACTGAAACGAAATCCCGGAGAGACCTCAATCCGCATTACGTTCCGCGTCTGCTCCGCGCACCATTATACGGGATCCGCTGTATTTGCTGTTGGCCGATAGCGAAGAATAACGTCGGACAAGCTACTCGACGGAGGGTAGCCCGGGGGGAAGGAAAAGATGGAGGAGGAGGTAGGTGCTGAAGGAGGGGAAGAACTTGCAGAATCGGCCGGAAAGAAATTAGAAAGAGCAGATGGCCGATGCGACTTTTGAAAAATTATTTTCCGCGTCAACGAGCGCTTTCTCCAACGGCAGGGAGCGCCTCGCGACGAATTCCCCGCGTTCTCCTACCGCGTCATTCTCCCGACAGCCGGCAGTCGTAATTGGATGCCTCGACTTCGCCGGTTTACGACGGCTGAATCCTTCTATCCGTCCCGGCTCGACTGACGGTTAACCGATAATCACACGGACGATTCCACGAATTCATTAAGATCGTTAGCCGCGACGCGTCTTGGCGCGGATTTTAATTGCCGCCGTGGCGAATCGTGTTCTACCGAATTACATTGATACGCGATTGTTCATTCCGTCTGCGGGATATTATCCCGTTTAATATCTCGTTTTACGTTCCGTCTTATCTGAACATTTTGTGCGGATAACAACTACATCAAATACCCCTAGCTCATTCGGATTATCGTTCTTTTTTTGTTACTATTGAATGATTCATCAACTTTAATATGGGCAAAAATGATACAGACCCACATATATAATACGTTTAGAGAAAATCGATATTCAAGACGTTCATGAATTATACAATAATGGTAATTAATTCACTAATAATATGATTGTTTCTAATCGTAGAAACGTTATCTTTGTGTTTTTGGAATCTAGAAATTACCATTTTGCTTTTCACTTAACAAACTTTTTAATCTGAGCTTTTAATCCGCCAATGGAAGCAAACAGCAGTAAGGAGGTCGGAGTTCAAGAAAGTAACCGGCGAGCCAAACAGTTTTGTTGAACCAATTTAATCTCGTATCTTTCCTTTTCGAGATCTTTATCCTTACCATCAGTCAGTCCGAATGTCGAACGAGTGCAATAACCCGTTTCCTTTTTTGCTTTACTTTCTCTATTTTTCCATTCCCGCTATTTTGCTGTAACAACCATTAGTCCAATATCTTTATCATATAATGTCGTTACTTCAGTTTCACTTCAGTTTTCTCTGTCTCAACGCACTGAAAACATGATCATCCAATCCAATTGATTCTCTCGTCCGATTTATTTTCGTATAACCGTTCAAATTAATTTCTTTTATTATTATAAGTAATTATCGCTTAGCTTTCAATATTAGAATTGATCAAGAAATCCGTATATAAGAAGAAACTCATTTGATTTAGAATACTATAATTTTTTTTTACCTAGACGTCGTGTTGTCTCGATTTACTTTATAGTCCTTTTTTTCGCTTCCCTCGCGTTTACAGCTTCTCTCGAGGTTCGCAATGCAAATCTCGTCGAGGAATAAATTCCTGACTGATTCTTCCGCCGACGGAGAAATGCCCGTTGCGGGTGTTTGCTTGCCGTTTGACGATCCGATTCGAAGCGCATATCTCTCTTAAGAGCCGCCGGTCTAATGGCACGTTCCTAATGCCTAATGCAACTTTCGTGGCGCGATCAACCCGGAATCGTTAATCCAATTTACTCCTCCGTGAGAAGTTGCTCCCCCCGAAACTTTCGACCACCCGGCAAGCGCGGCGCGGCGTGATCGGTTATTCGGACTGGCTTATGATAATCACCCTCGAAAGAACTTTGAACTCCGCGCGCCGTAATTCGCGCACTGGATATATTTGTTTCCCTCGTGTCGCTCCTCGTTATCGAAACAGAGGGAACAACTCTTCGCATGCGACACGAAAATTCGATTTGCAATTTTCTTATCAACGAAATATCAAAAACTCCGATTACTTTTAATTTTTTTACTTTGATTTCTTTTCTCTATATTTAAAGCGATATCATCCAATCATGTTTTTTTTAATTTTCTTTAAAAAAGTAATAGATATTTAAGTCAGTTATATATATATTTCTTCAGAAATTTTATTACACGCAATGAATTGATAAAATCCGGAAGATGCAAGAAAGAGGGAGAGAGGAGGAAAAGAACGAGATAGGAATAATAATGCGAAGCGAACAAAAGCGCAATACGTTTTCATCACAATTTGAGACAAATTGAAAAATTCCGGCGAAAGCCGAGTTTTAATTTCGTCCATTCACGAAAGGCTATTCGAGATATTTATAAAATAAAGTCCCAAAATTGTTGCACGCGTTTCGCGGAGATTGCTTGTCGTCTTTCTTTTTATTTTTTTTTGTAATTTTTGAAGAGTCCTTCGCAGTTTCATTTCTTCATTTCTAAAGAGACACTCAAGAGAGGGAGGATGAGTAGGGGAGGAAGGGAGAAAGATCGATCGGACAAAACGCTGCTCAAGAGTGATTGAAAAATTAAGAATCCCGGTTTTATCACGTGAAAGGTTTCTTAATTCGACTAACTGTATAACATAGAAAATCAATCGCGATGAGAGCCGTAACTCTCATAATTGGAACGGTCGGAATACTTTGGAACTTATCGATGAATGCCGAGAGATTCGATTAAGATATAAAGTAGTAAAGAGCCCGCATCCCGCGCACACACACATCCGCTCGACTTCGATCGATTTGTCCGGAAAGAAGTTATAAACCTGAAACCGCACTGTTACCCTAATTTCGCCAGATGTTACCAATCACGAGCCTCAATTCGCGCAATTTGCTCCTTACGCAAATATGTTTTTGCATCAGATTCTAGTTTATACGGTTCATTGCGCGGATGTCAAATGTACAATACAAACGCATTAATTTGCACACCGATGCTAATTAATGTATCTGGTTTCAATATTAATTCCGATCGGGAATAGCCATCGTCTACTTTTTTAGTTAATTAAATCGCAACGTTGCATTGTTGAATTCAACAAATTAGATGCTATTTAATACCATAATGAAAACTATTTGAAATGAGAGTCATTAGAACGTAACGAGAAACTATATATTTTATATGAAAAGAAGTGTTCTCGCATTTCATTCATTGTCATCGATAATGAGTGAATTAATTTCATTGTCATCGAAATTTATATTTCAAACCGAAATTTACGAAAATTTACCCCATTTACGAAAAAGTAAACATAAGGCGCGGCGAATAAGTATCAAAATAACGTGCAATTTCAGTGCAAATAACTAATTGTAGTTTAGGCGATCGCACGGAAGTAGATAAAGTTTTACCGTTCTGCGAGGTCATGGTTTGCCAAAAGCCCTTTCTGCTGCTGATGTTTGGTATCCGGAAGGAGTATTCCACGTTTCCAGACTCTTCACTCCACAACAGTCTTAACGAACCGTAATCCGACGATCTCAATTTCACGATTGGACAAGAGTCAACGATGTACGAGTGGGGCACAGCCTTCGCGGGGTCCGTCCTGTGTTCCAGCACTTCCACGACGTACCACTTGCCCAGTATCTGTAACGAAATGTTTTCGTAAAATCGACCTGAAAGATCACTCGGTCTGATCGGAGTGAAGCATGCTAAGCGCTTAGTAGATAAAAAGACACTTCTCTCGTTCGATATCTTTCCGCAAACATGGGTTTCACTTGAGCCTCAGTTTCCAGGATACTCGAGATATTAAAAACTCTCGAAGAGAGAGAGAAAAAAGATAAATTCTCCTGGGGAAAATTGGTTCTAGAGGCAGTTAAAGAGCTTGACGGAAGAAGCGCGGGGATGCCGAGTGTGCGTGGGGAGTTAGAGAGAGAGAGAAAGAGAGAGTCGATTCTCGGAGAATAATCCAGTAACTTTGGCGAAAGTAGATATAGATAATTCCGTGAGGAGCTTAAAGCAAATTACGGGCGATTTATTGTCCGCGCGACCGTTAGTGATTAAGTCCACGGAAATATCGTCGGTGGCCGAACAACCGGCCGGAGATCCGCTTGGATCGCGCATAATGCGCGCTGGGAATGCTGGGATTTTTATTTTTTATTTGTTTTCAGCCCCCGAGATCGTTTTCGATTTTATATCCTCCGCGAAATCTTGCTCTACATAATCGGATTGTGCCGCGCAACGGGGAGTGAAGCTACGTTCAGCGGCAGTTCGTATATTTATCAGATCAGACTTATCCTTTATTATCCGGAGTGTCGATCGATCCCGCGACTTTTTGCTTCGTCGGTACGCCTTACGGCGTAAACAACGGCGGGGAATCTTAAATAGAGCATTATATAACAGTTGCGCGAGCATCGCGCGCCGAGGGAATAAGGAGAGTTCGTCAATCTTACTCGTAGTGACGTTGACTGATGCGCGTTAGAGAAATAGAGGGGCTAGAGGTCGGGCGTACGAGAGGAATTAGCCTCAACAAATAGTTTGAGAAAATCAGAGACGCCTGCCGATCTCTCGGCTTGCAGCGTCAACTCTCGGCGTCGAATAGCGCGCAATCTACAAAATCGGTCCCGTGTAAGCTAATCCCGACGGTCCTTCTCACGTATAACGCAGCGATTTTGCAAAGAAACTCGATCTCTCGAGGAAGCGCAGAGGCCACAATTCTCGCTGGTATGCGATAGTATATAGTATGTAGCTTTTACTTCCCGCGTTACGTCGGTCGGGCGGGAGGGAAAAACTCGCTTCAGCTTTCGGTTTAAATTACGCGCGTAAAATCGCGTATTACGCGCAAACATAGATAATTGTTTATTCAACTAGCTCGTGTATTAAACACGATGCTAATGTACCAACTGAAAGCGCTTATAGGTCCGAAGTTGGTGGTACTCGCGGTGATGCAGATTATCAACTTGTTGAGCTCAGATGGTACGATACTCGGTTTTGCCCGCGGGAGCCAGCTGAGGGGAGTTTCGTTGAACAATGACTGTAATAATCCTGACGAAGGTCCGAGGTCCATAAAGGATCTCCTCTAGTTGCCTTGCCTTTGCGATACCAATGGATTTCCGTGAATTGCGCACGAACGTATGCTTTGTTGCTTTGAAAATATTCATGTAGAGAAGCGCGATGCGTGAAATGTCATTCTTATTAATCTTGTGCTTATATTAGTCTAATAGTCTTCTGTCATTTTCCTTCTTAAAACCCGTTAGAGGAAAGGGAAAAAAATAGGAGAGAAAGAGAATTTTATCGACGAGTTTTTCATGTTCAATCGATAATTATTCGAAAAATGCAGACATTCGACATTCCCTGCCACATTTTCGCAGATCGAAAGATCGTCGGCGGAAACGACATCCGGCAATTTTGGAGCACTCTGTACGTGCAAGTGGAATGGGCAAAATAGAAGTAGATGGTGCGGTTTTCGTTTTTGCCGAGTAGTATACGCATATTGCGTGCATGTGTGTAGGTACGTGTGTACGTTCGTACACATCCCGGGCTTTATTGTACCGGAAAAGCGCCGTAAATCATTGTCGTCGAGGTGTACGTGATACTGGGTCACACAGCGTGGTCGGGGGATTAAAATTAACGAGATAATAAATATGGCTTTTGTCCGATAGACCGCAAAAAATTTCAATTGTCGTTTGGTGGAAATCTCGCACGAACAATCGCGGTCGTTCGTTTGAAACTGTGCTATTTTTCTTTTTTTTTTTTTAAACAAATGTCGCAACTGCGTGCAAATGATGTTGAAACTAAACGAAAAGAGCGCTAAGCTAAGGTGATACAAAATATGTGTACAAACAGTTTATACCTTTTTTCTAAATTAGAAAAATTAGAGAATTAATATAGAAATAAGAGAAAAATTAGAACACACGCACAGAATTTCTGTAACTTTGACTGTCAAAATTATTTAACTTTATAACTGACTGTCACAAGTTGTATAACTTGGACTGTTAAAATTTTAGTATGCACAGCATGATAAAACTTAAATATAAGAAACAGCAATGAGAAAAGATAATGGAGATAATTTTAATTTTGCACAAGGATCTTTACGAAGTTTTCTCCGCTCTTAAAAATGCTGACTACGTTGTTAAAGTTAAAGTTTGTATAAATAAGCTTGTCCTCCGCTCGTCTTTATGTCGCTTCTTACTTGCCTTAAAGGAACCCGATGTGCACCCGATAATGAACTTCGCCGAGTTGCTTTATTATTCAGTCTTATAAATAAGACGTATACAATGCCGAGATAGCCGTATGTTGAAATTAAGAGGAAGTTTAATCGGTATCAAGCTTGAAAAAGACGGAGACTACTACTGAGGGCTCACGACAGGCAGCCCGCATCGTCATCGCTGGCTGGCCTTGTAATTTATATCGCTGACAATGGATAGGATAAACACAAGCCTTCGTTCAAGTTGCGAAAGTAGTTAGAAAAGTTTAATTGATAATCGGCAGCCAACGTGATCATTATTATGCCTAACGCGATTACGTTACACGTTCGCTTGGACATTTCCGATTAACCACTAAATTACTGATCCAGTTTGCACACTAGTTATACGCCACGAGGTGTGAGAGAATCGTGCGTGAAAAAAATTAATTGAAAATGTTATTAAAACAAGAACGCATAGAATATTTAAAAAAATATATTCAAACAAAATAGATAGACAAAACATGTACAAGAAAAAATTAATCACCTTTTCCAATAATTAATTGGATAATTTATATCAATTTGTTTAACTCGTTTAAGCTTTTCCTGGCACACTTTTCTGCATGTATGTTATATATTAATTTTGTCTTCAATCAGATTTCAATTTTATTTCTATAAAAATTTTCCGGTTTTACACTCATAAAATCCAATCTGTCCGCTAACGAAAAATCGTATTATTTGTTGAATTGAACTGATATATTCGCCGTGGCATTTCGGACAGTGCGATCGTATATACACGTGTTTTTTTTTTGCGAATTGAAAGCATCACCGACGTGAAATGGTATAACAATCGCACGCGCGGGGGCTTTAAAAGCCCAGTGTTCCGAATAATCTTATATCCCTTTAGTAGATTTAACGTTCATTTATTTTAACCAGCAGTTTTTCACGTGGGAAGATTCGCCGCATAAAATCGGATAAAAACCGCCGCCAGGCCAACCAACGATTTTAAGCTCGACGCATTGCCAAACTAAATCCGCGCGCTACTTGCGCGCGCAAAAGTCCATTTAAAGACACACCCACAAAAACGGTCTTACTCTCCCCTTCCTCTTTTTTTCAGCGATAAAAATAATATATAATCCGTGTTATAGCTATAGCAATTATATCAATATATATTTCTTTTTATATTATTCTCTTTTACGTAATTTTAAGAGCCAACTCATTTTATGGTACATCTGCATTCGGTGGCGGCAACCTCGTTGCTCCTCGTTCGGTGGCCGTAATTAAGATTAACGATTAATACGCGGCACGTTGAACATTGTGCACAATAATTCTTGCTGTCCAAGGAATTACCGATGAACCCGGAGCTGACCCTGCGCGAATTCGCGAATTATAATTACAAGCCGAATAATATACACCCGTTTTGTCTGGGGCGCGGCGACACGACCGCGCGCACGACTCTCGGGCAAAATTGCCGGCAAATAAACCGGCGCGTCGCGCGCGGGAATAAATTTTCGTTTATTAGACACTACCGGACACCAGGCACGGCGACGCGCCTTTCGTGACTTATGCATTCGCTATCGTAACGAGAACGTCAGCATTTTCAGAGGGGGGAGGGGAAAGGAGGAGGAATATTGCAGTAATTAGTAGCAAGATAAATTTACCGTTACGCGTAACGCTAATAGCGGGTAATTTCCTGAAATAGTGGGAAAAAAAGAGAGGGAGCTGGGAAAAGCGAGACGTGACGCGTGTTTTTTTTCGAGTTTCACCTCGTTTCGGCTGCCTCATCGATCACGCGCGGCGAGAGAAAGAGAGGGTGCAGCCATCCAAATGTATATTCGACTGCCCAAACTCAGTTCGCTGCCCGTGTATTTCCTCACGCTTCGAAGACTTTCTCTTTACCTCTCTCGTAGCAGCAGCAGCAGCAGCAGCAGCAGCGTGCATGTACCTTACGGCGGTTCACGCGAGGAATATCCCGAGGATATACGAAGCGAGATATACGGCCGTATACTCTTCCAAACCGTCTCGGAAATACTTGCCCTTTCGCCTCCCGTAATACATATTTGCGAATTGAGGAGCCCGACTCACGATGTCCCCGCGGGACATGGCTTTCAGGGCGGCATTGAGAGGGCCTGGTGGATTCATCGGCTAGGTATTTCCCGGCGGTTTCGGGACAGCCGGCAATCTCTCCCGGAGACGGTGCATTTGCATCTTTACGACCTTCGACGGTGCTCGTCGTCGTTTCGCCCGTCGCGACGCCTCGACGACGGGACCAGAGACGAGAGCGGTAAAAAACCACGCCTGAGTCGCCGAGGTGGGACGGCGATCGCAAATTGGGAAGGGAAAAGAAAAAAGGAACGCGAAAGGGTTCTTCTCCTCCCCCTTCGCGAAAGCCATCACATGCGGTACGTTATTGTATTTATGCCTTTATTAAATTCCGCGCGCAACACCGGACGCTTGAATTCTT